GAAGTAGAGGAGAAAAAGCACATAGTGAAAGATATAAATAAAATATACACCAGAATTTAAAAGCTGTAGAATAGATCCTAAATGTTGCAAGGGCTATCTCTCATGTTGGTGGGGTGGTTTGTGTGGCAGGGCATGAATCCAAGTAGTCTGGCATTGTAGTACTGTTGCTCAGTAATCAGAGCAAACGGGTCAGGCAGAGCCTGCTTCAGTGCATGTCTGCCTTCTAGTTAACCTGTCGGTATTCTGTAGCCCCTCTGTGTTACCCAAATGCAGGTAATCTGATAGCACAGGCTGGGAAACATACTACTCTTGCTAAATTCTCTACAGTTCCCACTGTCCAAGGCACCACTGTAAGACATACAACAAACAATTAGAGCAATAAAATTTGCTCCATGTTTCTCATTCTATTTTGTACAAACTCATGGCCTGCAGATGGTTCCCAGAAAGCTGATTCTACAGTAAGCTCCTGGTGGTAGTATATGTCTCATTAAAAATAGAGATGTTAACTCCAATTAACTCAGTGTTACAGAGATCCAGCTTTATGAATTGCTGCCAGAGTGAAATTTAAGGATTCATTAACTAGATCACTTTAAAGTTGAAATATACTGCATAACTGATATTTCTTAGACTAGACTATTTGAAGACTCTTAGATTATTTTATGCTGTTCTTGGTTCCCCATGAAGGGGAATGCTGTTGTGAATGTGCTGGCTATTTTACTGAACTCTGAAACTGTCAGCAGTGTTTAGTATCTGCTGACAATCTGAACAGTCACCTCCAAAGACGCCCACATCTAACAAAGATAAGCAGAACCTCTGCATTCACTCAGGAAACAAAGGAACATATCTGGGGAATGTTCCTTAGGACTCACTCTGTAAATAAAATAACTCAGATCCTCTATTTAAAAGGTTAAATTAAATTCACTTACTAGGAAGAAAACAAAGAATGCAGAATGCCACCGTCAACCACATCCCTTACGTGTTCAGAGGAGAAAGATCTTTGGTAACTGGAACTCAGCGAGTGATCAAGCAAATTTCTGACACATGGTTGAAACCAGCACTGCCAGAAAGAGATTCATTCTGCAGCATCCTGAGAACGATACCTGTTGACTGACAATAGATTTACTCTTTTCACGTATAAAGTGACCCCTATACGTAATGTATAACTTTGTAAGCAAAGTAAAATGTCCTCTGTCCTTGCAGCTTCTTTCTAAGCCCCTCCTGATACAGAATACATGCTGCATAATACTTTGTTCAGCAGGGAAAGAATGATAAAAGTGCTGTGGTCTCCAGCTGGAGAGGCTATAGACTGAATGGGGCAAGTGCCCACAAGCTTTGTAAGAATTTATTTTTTTCTTAAATATACCTTAATCGCAGAATATGAATTCTTTCAAATTACATATGAACCAAAAGGAAACGTGCTTTTTTGAGCTGCATAAAAGGAACAAAATACATTGACAATTACTAGGACAGCAGCTAAGTGGTCACTTCCTTCTGTGGGTGGTTGGATGGAATGTTTTATTTCTATCAAATTGAAAAAGCTGTCTTTTCACAGCACAAAACCTTGTATTTGCTTCTTTTTTAAATCGTGCCTGGATGGACTGATGTGTCACATGCTGAGTCATTGAAACTGATGCTTTGTAGACTGAGTCATGCTAATTGTCAGCAAGAGGATGAAGGAAGACTTGAGAGTGATCCTACGCCTGAGAGCTTCTCGCTGAAAATTGCCAAAACCAGGAGCACTTATCAATAAGTGAATTATATGAATAATTTCTTCAGATGTGCAGATTTAGAACCCTTTTCTCTTGCTTTTCCCCTTTTATTGTCCTCTCACCATCTCAAAACTGCATTAATATGTTTATTATGTAAAAATATGTCTATCTGTCCATCATACCTATAACTATCTGTCTATCATATTTGAAAGATCATGGCAGTCAGGTGAAGTTCCCGATGACTGGAAGAGGGAAATATAACCCCCATTTTCAAGAAGAGGAAAATGTATGAGGGAGGGAATTATGGACCAGACAGTCTCACCTCCATGCCTGGCAAAATCTTGGAGCAGATTCTCCTGGAAGGCATGCTAAGGCACATGAAAAACAACAAGGTGCTTGGTGACAGCCAGCATGGCTTCACTAAGGGGAAATCCTGCCTGACCAATGTGGTGGCCTTCTGTGATGGGGCTACAGAACTGATGGACAGGGATAGAGCAGTTGACGTCATCTACCTGAAACTGAGCAAAGCGTTCAACACTGTCCCACATGACATCCTTGTCTCTAAATTGGAGAGACATCAATTTGATAGATGGACCACTCGGTAGGTGAAGAACTGGCTGGATGGCCGCACACAAAGAGTTGTGGTCAACGGCTCAATGTCCAGCTGGAGACCAGTAACAAGTGGTGTCCCTCAGGGATCACTGTTGGGACTGGTCCTGTTCAACATCTTCGTTGCTGACATGGACAGTGGGACTGAGTGCACCCTCAGCAAGTTTGCTGATGACACCAAGCTGTGTGGTTCGGTTGATGCACTGGGGGGAAAGAATGCCATCCAGAGGGACCTTAACACGCTTGTGAGGTCGGCTGATGCCAACCTCATGAAGTTTAACCGTGCCCAGTGCAAGGTTCTGCACCTGGGTCAGAGTAATTCCAGGCGCAGCTACAGGTTGGGCAGAGAAGAGTTTCCGAGCAGCCCTGCAGAAAAGGACGTGGGGTGTTGGTCAATGAGAAAATGAACATGAGCCAGCTTCAGTGTGCTTGCAGCCCAGAATGCCAACTGTATCCTGGGCTGCATCAAAAGGAGTGTGACCAGCAGGTCGAAGGAGGTGATCCTGCCCCTCTACTCTGCTCTCGTGAGACCTCACTTGGAGTATTGTGTGCAGTTCTGGTTTCCTCAACATAAAAAGGACATGGAACTGTTGGAACAAGTCCAGTTGAGGGCCATGAGGATGACCAGGGGACTGAAGCACCTCCCGTATGAAGACAGGCTGAGAAAGTTGGGGCTGTTCAGCCTGGAGAAGGCTGCGTGGAGACCTCATAGCAGCCTTCCAGTATCTGAAGGGGGTCTACAGGGATACTGGAGAGGGACTATACATTAGGGACTGTAGTGACAGAACAAGGGGTAATGGGTTAAAACTTAAGCAGGGGAAATTTAGACTGGATATACGGAGGAAATTCTTTCCTGTTAGGGTGGTGAGGCACTAGAATGGGTTGCCCAGGGAGGTTGTGAATGCTCCATCCCTGGCAGTGTTCAAGGCCAGGTTGGACGAAGCCTTGGGTGGCATGGGTTAGTGTGAGGTGTCCCTGCCCATGGCAGGGGGGTTGGAACTAGATGATCTTAAGGTCCTTTCCAACCCTAACTATTCTATGATTCTGTGATAAGGTCTGGATCCATTTCATTAGCTATTTCTATCTCATCACCCACACTGATGTAATTGTAAACTAATCACAAGTACACATCACCTTAAGAGTTTTTATTACCTTTTGTTTAACCAACTTTAACTAATTTGATTAATGATGATATGGTATATGGAAGTCATTCTGAGAAGTTGGCATCAATGTAATTAAAGCACATCTCCATTCATTTAGCTAGATGGTTTGCAGTGTTCCCATATAAACAAGGTTTAACTGAGCTCAGGGTTTCTGAAAGAGCCCATTTGTCCCTAGTTCTCCTAAGTATGGTTTTGCTGGAGTAGAATTAAAAATGTTCAACTACTGTGTAAGCTAAGCAGTATGTGTCAGAAATCAAACATCTAACATTTAATTTTTATTGTCATTCTATCCAAATTCTGATTTAAACCAAATAAACCTACGTCCTTTTCAAGGAATGGGGTTTGCATGTTTTGATGAGCTCATTCTTTCATTAGTTATGATAAAGAGTCTGAGGATTTAACTGGTGAGTAAGCATCTGCACAGAAGGCAAGTTCAGTTAGGATGGAATGCACTGATTTAAATGAACAGAAAAGTCACCAACAAGTGAGATAAGTAGAAATAAACACATATTTGTAGCTAGATAACTGTGTGAGTGAAGAATTGGAAACATCTTGCAGCAGAAGGAGATCTAATGAAAGCTTTTATTTATAAAAGCCAGTGCTCAAGGACAGAAGCTGGAAAATTAATTAAACAGCAAGTGAGATCAAAACTTCTAAGCGTTAAAATTATTCAAATCTGAACTTGTGAATCATAAATGTTCAGACTCATTTCTCTTCTGGTATTTTTTTAATAGAAGGTTTATTTCTTAATTCCTATTGTCTGTTTTATGAACATGCAACACACTACACAGATTTCTGTACAAATGTACAAAATGCACATTTTTAATAGTATGTACCTATTTTCATTACTGCTTAATGAATTAGAAACACAGTAAAATAGATAGGTATCATGTTTCTATCCCCAGAGGTGAAAATAAAAGCCAGATTCTCAGTTCTGATGCAGCTTTTGCTCCTGATTAACAGTTCATAGATCACCTTAAATAGCCAGCTACTTTTTTTTTTTTCCTCTGTCTATTGCATGTGCCAATAGTGTGCGTGAAATGGGAAAAGAAACTTTTCTGGTTAGTCCACTCATATCCTACATTTGAGTGCAAGAAGAGGGGAATTAAAGCTTATTTTGTATTGTTGCAAATTAAGAGTGAAACATTCCAAAGTAATAAGCTTATGCCATCCCAACTCAGGGTCATAAAAGCTATGTCAGGTTCCTTAGATCTAGTACCAGCCTTCAGAGGCCTTACTTCTGATTCTTGTTTGGCTTTTTTTTTTCCCTGACTCTGAAAGCACTAACAGTGAAAAGTCAAAGCTTCTATTAAAAGTGTCTGGAAAAGGAGTTTTCCCTACAGAACAGTGAATCTTGAATGTCCTCCTGACAGAAATAAGTAACTTGGTGTTTGTGGCAGGAAGAAGGCTGAACAACTCCACCTCAGTCTGTCAGCTGCCTCATCCCAACAGCCTTCAGCATCTGAGTTCTGGGAATGGGCTCAGGAGAAAATACATTGAAGAGTTCAGCCAATATCAGCTCCTTGAGAGGGGTAGCAAGGGAGGTAAAAATATTTTGAAAACAATAATATTTTCCTGGCACCTTATTGTTGCTTATTATCCCCCTCAGATCTCTCTGCAGACTCCTGCAAAGCCCAGCACAACCCATATATCATTGAGCACAGCACTGTAGGGATGGCCAACATGAGCAGCAGTCCACAGCACAGAGAAAGGGAGGCAGTCCCAGAGAGAGCAAGTATGTGGAGTGGCAAGGAGAGTCCTTGCTTGACTCAAAAACAGCTGCAAAATACTTCAGCCCTGCAGCACTTGGCTGCAGTTGAGGTATTTATAATCTGGTGTTTATTACTTGTGATATGAAGATTGGCTGAGAAAGTTGGGGCTGTTCAGCCTGGAGAAGGCTGTGTGGAGACCTTATAGCAGCCTTCCAGTATCTGAAGGGGGCCTATGGGGATGCTGGGGAGGGACTCTTCATTAGGGACTATAGTGATAGGACAAGGGGTAATGGGTTAAAACTCAAACAGGGGAAGTTTAGATTGGATATAAGGAGGAAATTCTTTCCTGTTAGAGTGGTGAGGCACTGGAATAGGTTGCCCAGGGAGGTTGTGAATACTCCATCCCTGGCAGTGTTCAAGACCAGGTTGGAGGAGGCCCTGGGTGATACGGTTTAGAGCGAGGTGTCCCTGCCCATGGCAGTGGGGTTGGAACTTGATGATCTTAAGGTCCTTTCCAACCCTAACCATTCTATGATTCTATAACTATCACTTTTGTACATTTCCATGTAGTGAATGTACATGCCCTTGTTCTAGGATACACCCACTAGGCATGGTTCACATTTAATACTAGGTTAGGATTAAGTGTAACAATCAAAGTTATACCCTGTCTGCAGCTGAGCTTATACTGACATAGCTGAAAATTCCAATATTCCTTCTAAGGAGGAATATGTCCCTTCAAGGATTGAAGGAAGGAGGAGAACAAGCAATGAGATAGCTGGACATTCCTATCTGAAGGGCGAAAGTTTCCAAATCTAAGTTATTCCACGCTGATAAAAAAACTATCTTTAATCTGATCAAAGATGCATTTTAATTTCTCTTTAGATGCTATTAAAATGTTTTCAGGCTGTTCTTACAGATTTTACTTCTAGAAGTGTGGAATTGGAGTTTCAGCTCAGTTAAGCCGAGGCATAAGATATATGCTGGGGTGCTGAGAGAAGTTTCTGTCTTTTGATTCTTGTTCTTGGGCACACAAATTCAAGAGGAAGGGCATGAATAGGGAGCCTCAACAGGGACCTTTGATCTCACTGAATAATACTGTTTCTGTGTTTCTTTTTGCTGGTTTATTCTTTGTTGGGCTAGTTCCTGAACTGCTTTCCTGTATGGCCACAAAGTTGTCTAAAAGCAACGCTGGGAATGGTATACTGGCAGAAAAAAACAGAAATGGAGACTTGCAGTGGCCATTTAAACAGCCTGTGTCTGTGGCTTGTACTATCCACTCTCAAACCCATCACAGCCCCATCATATACTGTCACCCTTCTGTGGGCCATGTCACTGTTCCTGATCTAACCACATTGCAGTATCCAGCCATATGGGCCCGTAATATGCCTTACCTGGAAAGCCTGGGGTTTCTATGAAGGTAACTCACAAAGATCTTTGGTCTGGACAGCCAGATTCAGGTCACACCCCAGTATTGGACACATACTTGGGTGTGTAGCTTTCACAGTGTCTAATCTGCTGGTGAAGTGACAGAAGTTAATGCTGCAGAGTGCAATCAGGTGTTTCTAAACTGCTTTTCTCCCTGTTGTCACAAAGTCCCAAATGGAACACATGCTGGAATTTGCCAAGGCCTGAGTGATCTCCTTTTGCTGCCAGGTTCTTAGAAAGTAGACAAGGAGTCAGATAATTGTAACTACCTATTGACATTTCCTTCCTGCATTTTGGTTTCTTACTCAAGCAGGCTAAGTGGGTTACACTACCATAAAGCTTTCTTTTATTCTAATTTGCCCTGAATTAAGCTTCTAGCTCTGTCCCCTAATGCTAAGAAATAAGTTAGAAGAGAAAATATGCTTATAAAAAACAACTGAAACTAATAAGATGCAAAGCAGAGAGTAAATACGGTGAAAGATAAAAAAAATGAGACCATGTTGAGATCTGAACAAAACCCAGTCCAACTTCCTCATTTATTCTACAGCTCTCTTGGAATGTGGTCTTTACAAAACACACTACTTGGTTACCTGAATTGGATTACCAGCAGAAATGGTATGTCAACAGCCAATTGCCTAATGATATTGCAAAGTCAAATGGTTAAATTATCAGTGATCATCTTCCACATTGTGCTCTGAGTGCAGTTTTAATCATAGAATCATAGAATAGTTAGGGTTGGAAAGGACCTTAAGATCATCTAGTTCCAACCCCACTGCCATGGGCAGGGACACCTCGCTCTAAATCGTATCACCCAAGTTCTCGTCCAGCCTGGACTTGAACACTGCCAGGGATGGAGTATTCACAACCTCCCTGGGCAACCTATTCCAGTGCCTCACCACCCTAACAGGAAAGAACTTCTTCCTTATATCCAGTCTAAACTTCCCCTGTTTAAGTTTTAACCCATTACCTCTTGTCCTATCACTACAGTCCCTAATGAAGAGTCCCTCCCCAGCATCCCCATAGGCCCCCTTCAGATACTGGAAGGCTGCTATGAGGTCTCCATGCAGCCTTCTCTTCTCCAGGCTGAACAGCCCCAACTTTCTCAACCGATCTTCATATGGGAGGTGCTCCAGTCCCCTGATCATCCTCGTGGCCCTCCTCTGGACTTGTTCCAACAGATCCATGTCCTTTTTATGTTGAGGACACCAGAACTGCACACAATACTCCAAGTGAGGTCTCACGAGAGCAGAATAAAGGGGCAGGATCACCTCCTTCGACCTGCTGGTCACACTCCTTTTGATGCAGCCCAGGACACGGTTGGCTTTCTGGGCTGCAAGCACACACTGAAGCCGGCTCGTGTTCATTTTCTCATCGACCAACACCCCCAAGTCCTTCTCCGCAGGGCTGCTCTGAATCTCTTCTCTGCCCAACCTGTAGCTGTGCCTGGAATTGCTCCGACCCAGGTGTAGGACCTTGCACTTGGCATGGTTAAACTTCATGAGGTTGGCATCAGCCGACCTTACAAGTGTGTCAAGGTCCCTCTGGATGGCATTCATCCTTTCATGTTAAGTGGTAAATGCATTTGGCTTGGAAAAGGAGGAGCAAATCAGGAATAGAGGCACATAGTTTTGGAAAACAGACCAGAAAATTATAAAATTAACACTTGCTTCATGTTAGGAAGGATTTGCATGTCTTCTCACTAATTACCTGAATAACAAAATGACTTTAAGCAGTGTGACCCAGATTGTGGTAACTATGACTGGCAAAGGAGAAATTATAAAGACAGAGCTTTTCAAAAGTGCTGTGTATCTGACTTCTGACCTCAGCTTCTCTGAAATTCAGCGCAGAATGCCTCAGTATAGCACTATGTCATATGACACTGCATTCCTAGGATTTTATCTTCCCACAATACATGTCTCTCCTACCTACATAACTTGGTAAACAGTATTATGTCACATGGGGGGAGCACAGTTCTGGTCTGATGGCAGAAGCAGCCTGTCATATGACACAGGCCTTACACACCACACTGGATGGTGGTATGAGTGACAGAGGCACTACTTTAGTCATCCTTCTTCCAACCATTATGAAATCATCAGCTTGAAGTTCTGCTTCTTTTAGTGTTGTTTCTGAATCTATTCTCACCATCAGTGTATTTGTTGGATGCTTAAAGCCATTCAGTGCTCATGCTCTGAGAGATAGTTGTTTTCATTGCTGTACGGAAGTAGTGCAAGAAAACATTACAATCAAGTACCTGAAGGCTTATTTCTGCAGTTTTTTCCTGATTTGCACTGGAAACCTGAATGAAGATTAAAAAAGCTAAATGAATGCTCCTTGCTTTTCAGAATTAATAATTTTCAGATTTAAAAGCCTGACCAGCAGTTACTTACAGTCATCAACGAACTGCTGGTTAGCCTGCAGGCAGAAGAACTGCAGGCTGGTTGATCCTTTGCTTTATCTCCAGGTGATGCTCAAGGACCTCAGAAGATACGCATAGAGAGATCAGAGTTTCTACTTTGATTGAAATCTTCTTCTATCTTAGAGGAAGAATAGAGGAAGAATTTGGCATCTTTGGAAGTGGAGATCAGACAGAAAAATTTGGGAAAAAATTACATAGCGGTTACACTCATGATTTGGGAAGAAAATTTGGAACAATTTTAATAGGAAAGGAAGATGGAGAAGTGTGTTCAGGTAATACGTGAGTGCAAAACAGATTGTACAGGAAAGAAGGATAAGAAAAAGAAGGAAAACCCATCATTTCTTAACAACAAAAAAAAAAAAGCAAAACTTCCAGTGACAAAGTTTAGAACTTTTAAATATTCCCTACATTGTAGGGAGTCCCAGCAACCTTCAGATAAATTGCATGAATTGCATTTTAGATTAGCAGGGCAAAAGTTAATAGGCTGAAACTTTTTTCCTGTTACAATGTGTTTCACAGTTCACAATCTAAGAATGCATGGTCTAATCAGAGTATGTGCAAATGTCATGCTATATTTTCTTCTGGTTTGCTTTTTTTGTAAGATACAAAATGTCTGCAGTGAGGGTGCCCAGTATTTCGTCCTGATCTAGCCTCTAAGTTCTCCCAGAAAGTAACTATTCATGAGTGGGCCAATAACCAATCCACAAGGAACAAACCCCTTCATCCTTGCTAGATACAACCACACAGATGATAGGTTTTAAGAAATATATTCAGGTCATCATTAGAACAGTATTATGCAGTGGCAAACTGCAGAAGAAGAAGAAGGGCTTCTTTAAATACATTAGTAATAGGAGGAAGACTAGGGAAAATGTGGGCCCATTACTGGAGGGCGCAGAGATCCTGGTGACAGAGGACACAGAGAAGGCAGAGATACTGAATACCTTCTGTCTTCAGTGCCAAGGACAGCCTTCAGGAATGTCTCACCAGGAGACCAGAGAGAAAGTCTGGAGAAAGGAAGTCCTTCCCTCGGTTGAGGAGGACTGGATTAAGTATACATTAGACAAACTTGATACCCACAAGTCCATGGGCCCTGACAGGATGCACCCACAAGAGCTGTGAGAGCTGGCAGATGTCTTTGCTAGACTACTCTCTATAATCTTTGAAAGGTCATGACAATCAGGAAATGTGCCAGAGGACTAGAAGAAAGCAAATGTCACCCCAAGTCTTTAAAAAGGGCAAGAAGGAGGACCCTGGGAGCTACAGGCCAGCCAGCCTCACCTCAATCCCTAGAGACGTGATAGAACAGCTCATCTGGAGGCCATCTCTAAGCACATGGAAGACAAGAAGGTAGGACTAGTCAGCATGGATTCACATTTTATTATCAAAATACATGAGATTCACAGAGTCAGTTCATAATCAGGATTAGAGATTAAATGGGGACAGTCTGATAAGGATAGACTGTTTTCACCTAAGGCAGTTCTGTGAAGGAAACCTCTTTGTTTCAACCTTGAACATTATGCACCCAGTCCTAGACAAGTTTTCTGTCAAATAGGTTTTCTGAATGCAGAAATCCAGACCTACAAATATCTGTTATATGGAAATGCACACATGTTTTGTACTGTACACAATACTAGTTCCTTTTGTCTGTGAACAGACTACAGGATCATCTTTTTCGTCTGTTTTCTGCAACAAAATAGTTTAAAGCCCATGACTGCAGAAATGTCAGATGCCTGTGTAAGACATCATTAATATGTTGTAATAATTTCTGAATAAGCAAGTCTAGTACAGATAAAATAAAAGGAATCCACAAGAAGACTGATAAGTGGTTTTATAAGAACTAAAAAAAGATGGTATGCCATTATTCTGTGGTAATCCTTACTACAGATGAACCAGCATATTTGCGTTTTTGTGTGGAATTACTTGCTGTACTGGTGACACAGTTTCATGCAAATACTTCAATAAACTTTCAGCTTGATTTAGCTGTAGCAATTAATCTTTTTATCTTGTCAACCCAGAAGAAACATGAGCATGGAATCCTGCTCAGTAAAGGCTAAGAGCAGAACAGCAGAATGCTGGTAAGCAGGAACCAAGGTGTATGAGGAGTCCCCAGGGAGGAAGCTGACACATCTCTGTTACCCTGAGAACACGGTGTTGCTCTGCATGCTTCATTCATGTGCTTCAAAAGGTGAAATGAGAGACAAGTGTTTTCCACTTTGTTACTTCACAAAACACACGTAAAAGACACAGTCTTGTTCAGCCAAAGACATGGGCACTGGCAATAAGGTTCTCATATTTTCACGCACATTCCCTGCCTTGCAGTTGCAGCTACTGGAATTAGCATGCAGCAATCGTGAGGTGTGTTTGTCTCACAGATCAGGCTAACAGAGCTAATTTTAATTTAGCTGTTGGTTACCAAGAGCCTGGAAGCCACAGGAGTATGAATTTCTGGGCCAGCTCAGAACTAACTCAGCCAGCTTCAAAGATAATGCTAATATGCCTGGGCTGCTGCACATGGAGAAGCTAATGAAGATAACGCCGTGTCTTACGTGTTTGTGTGATACCTAGCTGTAGCACTCACACACCCCAGCTCACCCACCTTGTATTCCATATAAACAGTGGTGCACCAATGGTCATCAAGAAATACATACATGTGCCCACAGGTAGAGTATAAAGTTGAATAATAGCAATTTCAGTGCTTGTTTTAGTATCTCTGTTTCTGTAGGAATTTACATATAGGTCAGAAGGGATCCTGTGTTTACGCTTCAGCATTATAACCACTTCTGTTAAATAAGAAAATACCAGTGTTTAAACAGTATAACCTAGTGGAAAACATATTTATCCTGTTTGGACAACAATAGTAAGTTGTAAAGACTTGTAAATAATAAACACTGTGAGTCACCTAATAAAAGTGCTAATCAGCTAACATCTAAAATACAAGTAAAAGAAGGAAATAATCTGGTTTTACAACAAAAAAAAAATATTTTACAAGTTGTGTTGCATCACCTCACAGTAGCATTGGGAACTGATGGCCAAGGTTGTGGGCAGCCCTGAGCACAACAGCTGCTCCTCACTACGGCCTGGCGCACCACTGACAGCCTTACAACCTCCCTGGCTGCTGGGCCTCCCAAATGCTTCTTAGGCAATTAGGGCTGCTGCTGCAGAGCCATGCTGGCACACTTCCTGAACACAGGTGGGTTATGGAGACAGCTGCCTAGAACTGTACAGACTGGAATGAGTTAATCAACTGAATGCTATGTTACTAGATTACTAGAATTCTTAATGCATGCATGTAGTTCCTTGCAAATGAAAAGCTTTTCCTAAGTGCTGAGAATTTATTCAGAGTGAATTTTTAATCTAATAAAATCCTAGTCCTGTTCTACTGTACATTGTTATTTAATCAATTTAAATGGAAACAGGATATGATTATAAAGACTAAAATTATTCCAAACAGGACTAACTTGAACGCTCTGTCTCATTAAACAGAAAGAAATATACTTTGATAGATGCACATATAGCTTGCACAAGCCTCACTTGAACTCATGTTTAATAATACAACTGAAGTTATAGATTAAACGTACTTCTTCACTCTTAGCAAGTTTCAGAAATTTTTGTCTGTTCCCCAGCTTGAACACACAGTTATTTCTGAACAATTTCAGTTTATTGCTGCATCTTGGCTGTCAAAACAGCATTAAAAAGCTTGTGTTTTAAAAAATCAGCATCCGCTGGAACACTGGTGCACTGGTGAGCATCCCTTATACTTAAGATTTTCTATAAATTTGCTTCCTCAAAATTTGAAGTCCCCATTACATTTGATCCACAGGTGTCCCTTTTAGGAACAATCACGAAAAATAAGATAAGCTTGGGAGTTATCTTACTGTTCTTAAGAAACAGTAAGGAAATGGCATGCTTGCTTCCTTTCAAAATACAGTAAGACCGTGCCCATAGTGCATATAAAGACAAAACATTCTTGGAGAGCAGTAAGCACAGTCATTATTCTGAGGACATGTCGTATACACTTGCCACAAATCCATGATCTTCAGCATGAGTTTTTACTTCACAGTAGCATAGCACATCCCAGTCAATGCATTTGTAACTTCTGTGGTTGTGCAACTGAAGTAAAAACATGAAGAGCATAAACTTTTAGTGCCATCTTAGTGCTGCAAGTACCCATTACAATCTCCTGCTTATCTCTCCAGGGTGTCACAGATCTGCTGTTCTGCATCTAAGTCTGGCATTTTCCCTAAGGGCCATGAAATTCAATGTCTTTGTGCACAGAATTCACCATTTTCTAGTGTCCAACATTTGTTGTCTGTATCTATGTGCCACTGAGGCTTACTTGAAACTGCCTCCTGCTATTCCATTTTCCTGTGTGAAGTACATTTTTACACAGTCTGGCAGAAGCAGAGTTACCAAGCTGGAGAGGACTCCATATCATGGTAAGGGAAAGCTAAAAGCATAGATGTACATGCAAATATAAAAATACAGGCTGGAAAACAGTGCATGAGGGAGGAGGAGGTAAAACTACTGTAGCTACAGCTACTGCTCCATTGCCTGTCACACACAGCCTGAAGCAGGTTCTAGACTGGGTTAGCTGGACTTCCACATTGTGGAAACAGCCTTCAGGAGCAGACACGTCTACCTTGAAAGTGAACAGCAACCCCCAAACCATAGTGCAGTTTATGATCACATCATCTAGTCCAACATCCTGTATAAAACTAGCAATTCAGGCTTTACTGCATATACTTTTTATTAAAGCACTAATTTTACCAGTTTGACTGAAGAACAGCTTGTGTTTTTACTAAAACATATCTTCCAGAACAGCATCTAGTCTCAGTCAGAAGACATTGAAAGACAGAGTACTGATTACTGCTGCTGTGAGTTTGTTTCAGTGCTTCTCTATTTCCATCACTCAGATATTTGATCCTGTTGCATCTTTCTTCACTCAACAGTTGTTCGGTACCCAGTATTTTCTTATTGAGGAGACACTGTCACCCTTCATTCCCAGCTTGCTGCCCAGACTTAACTGTTAAAAGAAGGGATAGATGAGGGAGTCCTGCACCTTTGAAGAAATGTTGATAAAAATGTGAAAAAAGTTAGAACTCCAGTTTTTCTGAACTCATAAGCACCATTCATCAGAGGGGTTTGTTCATTGTTTTCTTGTTTGGGGGTTTTGGGGTTTTAGTTTTCGGTGGCTTTTTTTTTTAAAAACATTAGTCTGAAAGCTCTATAAAAGCTCTATAAAAGCTCTATCTCCTTGGCAGTTTCTCAGGACCTTAATATCATTGACTCTATTACAGTGCCTGTTTCTTTGCTGTTTCATCTCAGCATTTTCACTCCTGCTGTTCCACTCACACACACTTCCACCAGCTTCCAAGCGAATCTTGTTTTCAGCCTCTGTTCAAGTGGGAACCCTGTTTGAATGTGGGGTTCAGCACCTGCTCAAGCTTTGCCATCTGGCTGGAAGGGGTGGGGGAGGCTTATGCTTTATTTTTTTTGCAAGGTGGAGCAACTACAGAGCTCATGGCTGCATCAAGAAGCTCACTGGATTCTTTATATGCACCCTGAACAAAACTTCACCGAAGTTCCTTTTAGTGGTGAAGCCAACTCCCAGTGGACTGCAGGGGGTTAAAAGGAGCTATGCAACCACAGGCCATGCGTACTATAGCACCCTGCTCTCTCAGCTAAAGCCAACCTCAGAGCAAGGACCCCATGAGAAGCATCTTTTACGCTGCCCGTTGTATCTCTTCCTTTATCTCATCATTACAGCAGCAACATTCACTAATCAGGATTCCTCACAACTTTTTTCTTAAACCTCAGACATTTCAAATAGGTCTCATCCCAAATAATTTTTGTGGCTATTTTATACAATACAGTTTGTAAATACTTAAAAATGTAAATGCTAGAGCTGTTCTCTGGTAATGTAGTATCTGTCTCTCCAGCACCAGCGGAAGTGACAAATCACTTCCCCACTCCCCCTTCCCAGCCCTCTATTTTCCACTCAAAGAATGTACAAAGTCTTGCCAAAACATCCTGCTGGGCACTCATGTCAACCTGCATACCCACAGTGTCCCCAACAATCTTCCCACTTGGCAGAAACCTGTGTGCATTTTCTGTTCTTAAATATGTAACTTCACATTTGGCTGCATTGAAGTGCATTTCTGTTTGTTGTTCAGGTTACCAGCTTAATCCCATCCATATAGGATTGTTTTGATAATCTTACATCATTCTCATAATTATCAGCACTGATTTTTGCATTTCAAAACTGCTTAAAGTATCAAATAGCCTAGAGTCAGCTACTGGTATTGGTAAACTCCAATAGAAACTGGTCCCTTAAATAGCTGCTCTTTACTTACTACCTTTTTACAGAGAGCTATAATTTAGCCAGTTCTCAACCCCTCCAATGTGTCCTCAGGGTTACATTATAGCCTTCTGTGATATTTTAAAGCAGTCTGTATCTTCTGTATCATTTTCCCAGCCAAACTAGAGAACTCCTCAATTGATACCTCTGTTTGACAATTTTACATCAAAACATGTCAACTATCTTTCGTTTTGTGGTTTCATGTCTGAATCCCATTTAAGCTTTTTAAGACTAATATGAATAATTATTTGCAAACTTTGCATATTGGCACAATATTCTGTGCATACTTTTTTCTTCCTATTGCCACCTTCGATTGACAAGAAGTAGCTCCAGAATAGCTTTGGGCGCTGGAGATTCATCCACTCATTCCATGTCCAAACTCCCTTAGGATGTGCAGGATTGGTAGGTACCTTCACATGCAAGTATTTTTTTCCACATCCTGGGTTGGTATTTTGAATGCTGTCAATGCAGGAATATACTGTCTTTGTGTAGCTGGAGTCAATTTAGCTGCTTTCAAATGTGTTCCAGAACAGAACAGCTGATAGCAGCATTTATCAGTTACTTTTTTTGTTGTTGTTGTAATACGTAGATAGCATCAAAATTTGTTAGAAAGATCTGGTG